TATGCTTGCTGTAGATAAACAACATAGTTAGGGAAGGGGACAATTTTAAATAAAGTGGTCAGGGAAGGCTTTACTAAGTAGGTAACATTCAAACAGAGATCTGATATCTCTAGGGGAAAAGTGCTCCAGGTAGAGGGAACAGCAGGGGTGAAGGGAGACCTTGGTTATGTGTTTTCAAGGAACAGCAAAGAGGCCAAGGGGTTTGAAGCAGAGAGAGGAAGAAAGCAGTCAGCAATGAAGTCAAAGATATAACAGCCTGTTTGCATGAGCGTGGGAGGCACATGCTTCACTATGTACAAATAATCTCAATGCAGTAATGGTTAGAATGCAGGGTAATTTAATCTGACAGTAATTCAGCATCTTCTCTTAACTTAAATAAGGTGTTCTATTGAATTTTCATTGCCAATTTGTCCACAGTGATGCCAATTATAAACTCTTACTTTAGCTTTTCTTTTTTGTTTTTTGAGACAGTCTCGCTCTGTCACCTAGGCTGGAGTGCAGTGGCGCAATCTCAGTTCACTGCAACCTCTGCCTCCCAGGTTCAAGCGATTCTCCTGCCTCAGCCTCCCAAGTAGCTGGGACTATAGGCATGTGCCACCATGCCCGGCTAATTTTTTTTTTTATTTTTTTTTTATTTTTAGTAGAGACAGGGTTTCACCATATTGGCCAGGCTGCTCTTGAACTCCTGACCTCGTGATCCGCCTGCCTTGGCCTCCCAAAATGCTGAGATTACAGGTGTGACCACCCCACCCAGCCGGCTTTTCATTTCTTGAAGAGACTGGAACAACAAATCTTCATAGATCTAAACTAACTTACATTTTAAAATATAAAACTGTGTGTCTTGCCAACAGAATTTTTTTTTTTTTTTTTTTTTTTTTTTTTTTTTTTTTGAGACAGAGTCTCACTCTGTCACCTAGAAGTGCAGTGGTGCTATCTCGGCTCACTGCAACCTCCGCCTCCCAGGGTCAAGCGATTCTCCTACCTCAGCCTCTGAGAAGCTGGGATTACAGGCACCCACCACCACGCCCGGGTAATTTTTGTATTTTTAGTAATGGGGTTTTGCCATGTTGGCCAGGCTGGTGTTGAACTCCTGGCCTCAAGTGATCTACCTCCTTGGCCTCCCAAAAAGTTGGGATTACAGGCATGAGCCACCGCACCTGGCCACCAACAGATTTTTTAACCCAGAATTTGACAGTAAATAAGTGTTACATCTTTTAAAACAAACACCTTCAAAGAAATACATTAATGGAGAAATATTAAACATATCATTTTTATTAAAGTATATCAACACCTAGAAACAATAAAGGGTACATGATGAATATGTATAAAAATAAGTAACTCAAAGCTTTACTTGAAATAGAAAAGTCTAACTATAAGTTATTTTTTAAGTGTACATCAATGGAAACAAACCATAAATTTGCTGATTATAACGCCATTTTATGTATTGCAAGAATATACAGCTTCAAAGTCTTCTGGTTTAAATTCCTAAATAACTACAGGGTAACTAAATATGTTCAGGATCCTTCAGACACAAAAATCAACTATATAAAGTCACCTGGAACAAATAAATAAGTAATCATACCACATTTCTGTTGTTTTTAAATTTATCATGGTTTTGCTTATAAAGGTATTGACTCATTGGGTTAACTCTGTAAGGTTATAAGATGATATCTGATTTATACTTGCTATATTTATGACTACCTATATACATTTGAACAATCTGAGTTACAAATAATCATGCTGACAAATTCAGGTTTCCCCACTACCACTGAAATGATCAGAGTCTAAGCTGAAAAAAAAAATCCGTATTCATACATTTTAATCAAGGTTCAGTAGGGAAGAAGGGAAGAAAAAGTAAAACTGCAAACAAAATGTTAAATACTATACTCCATTTCCTCTGAAATATTTGTCTTTGAATTATTATGTTGGTCTAAATTTTGCCTCCAAAAATCTAAGAAAAATATTGTTTGGGTTTTCCAAAAATCTACATGCTTCTTGAGTTTTTTATTCAAATATTATGTAATCAGAAACCTATTTTAAAGCACAAAATTAGAAAAACATTAAAAAATTATTAACTTTAATCAATCTCAGATAAATAGAATTGTATTGTATGCTCCACTGCCTTTGTTCTACTCATCTTTTTCAGTTTGTTGTTTAAAGCCTCTATATTTGGTTTTAATGTTTAAAAAAGACATACTGTTTTCATTTTCCCTTTCCTTTAAAAAATGGCAGAATAATCTATTTAAAAACAAAGAGGCAAAAACTCCTTGAAATATTTTTCTTCTCATTTAAAACGGACCTATATTTGGTGTACATATCTTTTAAGTTTACAATATGTGAGAAAGAGGATCGTAATGATAAAGATCCTTTTTAAAAATAACCAGGAATGACAGAGCGATTTATCTCCATGGGAAGCGCAATAAACATATTGTATAGTATATACGACCTTATGTTTTACTTGGTGCCCCTAAAAGACTGAATTATATTCGTTGATCTATTTTAATACAGTGAACTACAATTTAAGATTAAAACAAACTTGAGGCTCAAAGCACTTCTGTAGAAGATACAAAAGACAAATGTTTGAATCTTACCCAGGTCACTACAAGCAACTATTAAGTATATAAACCACAGACATAAATAATACACAATCCAGGCCAGGTGCAGTGGCTCACACCGTAATCCCAGCACTTTGGGAGACCAAAGTGGGTGGATCACTTGCCGTCAGGAGCTCGAGACCAGCCTGACCAGCATGGTTAAACCCCGTCTCTACCAAAAAAATACAAACTTAGCTGGGCATGGTGGCACATGCCTGTAATCCCGGCTACTTGGGAGGCTGATGCAGGAGAATCGCTTGAAGCTGGGAGGCAGAGGTTGCAGTGAGCCAAGATCACGCCACTGCACTCCAGCCTGGGCAGTAAGAGCAAAACTCTGTCTCAAATAATAATAATATCATTAAGAGCAAAACTCCATCTCAAATATTAATAATAATACACGATCCATTATTAACAAATTCTATCAAGGCTTCATGTGACATTTAATGGCTGAAAACTAAACAGGACTCAGCAAAATAAAATGTATTTAAATACATGCTTTCTTGTGAAAGAAGGCTCATCCAGTGATACTGACCATAGAGAGAAACTATACATCACTCTCATATTTAAGAGGGTTCTGCCTGCCTTGGTTGGCTTCAAACAGCTCACTGTCAGTTGATTATATTTAGACTGGTTCTCAGCAGAAGCAAAGAGTCCATAACATCACAAGTGATGGCATCTTGTCAGGGTGTAAGCAATCTCAAAACATAACTTGCATTTATCACTTCTACTTTTTGCTCATGACAGCACATGAAAGCCTGCCTTTTCAAATGCACAGATGTGCTCAATATGCACTTTCCATCTATGCTTGCTCTCTATAATGTGTATTTAAGAAGAGCTCAAGACTTTTAAAAATAAAATCTACATGGCAATGGTATCTTCTAAGTCATGAAAAACTATTTGGAAACTATCAGGCCAGGCACGGTGGTTGACGCCTGTAATCCTAGCACTTGGGAGGCTGAGGCGGGAGTTTGAGATCAGCCTGGGCAACATGGCAAGACTCCTGTCTCTACAAAAAAAAAAAAAAAAAATTAGCCAGAGGTGGTGGCGCACAGCTGTAGTCTCAGTCACTCAGGAGACTGAGGTGGGAGGATTGCTTGAGCCCAGGAGGTAGAGGCTGCAGTGCATTGTGTTCATGCCACTCCACTCTAGCCTGGGTGACAGAGCAAGACCCTGTCTCGAAAAAAAAAAGAAAAGAAACGAAACTGTGCTAATTAATTAAGTATACCTTATTCTGAAGAAAAAATCAAAATCTTTAAGCAAATTTACAATGTACAGAGCTCAGTCCTGCAAATATGGAGACATTAAAGAAAAAAGAACCTATTCAAAGGCCAAAGATAAAACTGTAAATGACTGTGGGTTTCCTAAAAGTATATTTAAAGTTTCTTACAAAACCATAACCCTTCTCCCCTAAAAAATATGTTCTCTGGTAGAATACTGAAGTAGAAAACAGACCACTGAACAATGATCTCGCAGTATCAAACATTTTCTCAAACAATTATGACATAGGATCAAAAAACAGAATGCTAGGCACCCAGGATAAAAAGCACAAAATGTAAGAGAATAGATCACCTATTCAAAGAACCAAAGCTCACAAGAATGTATGAGAGAACATCTATACATTAAAGAAAGAAAAGAAAGAAAGAAAGAAAGAAAGAAAGAAAGAAAGAAAGAAAGAAAGAAAGAAATAAAGAAATAAAGAAATGAATGCAGATAATAGAATTGAAAAAACCAAAATGAGGCCGGAGGCAGTGACTCACACCTGTAATCCCAGCATTTAGGAAGGCCAAGGTGGGTGGGTCACCTGAGGTCAGGAGTTCAAGACCAGCCTGGCCTACATGGTGAAACTCCGTTTCTATTAAAACTACAAAAATTAGCCAGGCATGGTGGCAGGCACCTATAATCCCAACTACTTGGGAGACTGAGGCAGGAGAATCGCTTGAACCCAGGAGGCAGAGGTTGCAGTGAGCCGAGATTGTGCCATTGCACTCCAGCCTGGGTGACAACAGCCAAATTATATCTCAAATAAAAAAAAAAAAAAAGAAGAAGAAGAAGAAGAAAGAAGAGGAAGAAAAACAAAATGAAAAGTGTATATTTTTCATAAGAGAACACAGGAATTTTGTGAATAGTGTAGCCACTATATAAATATTGTATAAACCTTCAGATACTGGTTATCTCTTTTGGGAGATTTAAGGTATTCATTTTTAATCTTAAAAAGATTCTTTAAAAAGAAATTTACTTCCCTCTTAAATAGTAAGTTAAGTAGCACTTCAAGCTTTTCCTTAATAAAAACCGTTGCTGGAACAGAAAAATAGGCTTATTAATTAAATGATTCTCTCCATGCTCTAAATACACATTTTAAATGTACACCTTTTTCTTCTACAGAAAACAATGATTACTAATACTTTGTTGTTTTCCCTTAGCAATTTAAAAAAGCATTTAACCACACATTATAATAACAAAGAGAAAGTAATGACATTTGAAATTTACTTATACAGTAGGTCAGGACATTCAAATTGACCTCCATTTATGCATAAAAAAGGCAAGAGAAAAAAGGGAGTTTTGCTACTCTCCAAAGAAGGGAAAAGATGGCTATAGAAGCCAGTTCAGAAACTACAGTTGTCCATTGTCTGCTATAAGGCAACTCAAGAACTGTTCTCCTTTATTCTGTCACACTTATTGCTTTCTTTGCCCTCTTGATATGTACGAAGCTGCTCCATGAAGCCAGAATTTGGACATATGGAAGGTCTTGCATTTTTCACCAAAGAAAAAGCACTGGTAAATGAGGTTTGTTCAGAATTCATCAGGAAGCCTATTACAATTGCAGCAGCCCTGGAAACTCCTGCATTACAATGAACAAGAACCACTCCATCCTACAAAAAAAAAAAAAAAAAAAAAAAAAAAAAACTTCATTATTCATTTGAGAAAGATTATTAAATCAATTGCACATTCTTATACTACTTGAAATTATAAAGTAAATATTCAATTTTATCAATTTATTTGATTCAACTTATTTGATTACTGAAATAAAATTCATTACCCACAACAAATGGACACTCAGTCAATCAATCAACCTATACCTCCCTTACCTACTAACCCATGATTGAAATGCTTTAATGATGTTTGGAATTCTGAAACAGTATCTTTCACTAAACTAAAGTAATCCAGTAAAGAACACATTAAAACCTAACAACTTAGTAGCCAAATGTATCAGTAAACACAAAAACCTAATAACTTAGTAGTCAAATGTATCAGTAAAGTACACATGAAAACCTAACAACTTAGTAGCCAAATGTTTCGGTAAAGTACACATAAAACCTAAGAACTTAGTAGACAAGTGTATATAAATAAGAAAAAAAACACAGGAAATATATGCGAAAACATAAAATAAAATCATAAGTATAAACTAAACAGAGAGCCAGAAATACTCCAGAGTATACTTAGTGTTCTCATAAATAAGCTAGTGTCAGTGGCTTGCAAATCTGTTTAAATAATCAGCAAGGAAAACATTTTCCACCCTTGGACATATTTTATTCTGGCAGGAAGTTACTTAAAAATATTTAAACTTATGAGGTAGTAAAATGTGATACAAATAGTTCATAACAATGTGAAGTGGAAAAGGTAATCAGACACCAGCATGAGGTCAATAAATGAAAAAACGTTTCAGGTAACTTGCAAATGATACTTTCCAAGTGAAAAGAGACACAGCGCAAGACCAATGCTGATGGGGGCAATATTGTATTAATAATGAATGTGATAGATCTGATGGGACAGCACTGATACAGCTTGGCCCATCTGAAGCCTTTAAAAAGTTAATGATCTAAATGAAACGTGGTGAACCGTGAGCATACCCTCCAGAATTAGACATTTTAGTTACTTCATTTCCTGATTCTTTATTTGGTACAACACAAAAAAAGATGAGAGCAGGAGGAAAAAAATATGCTACCAAAAACCCTCTACCCAGAGCACATATTAACAATACTACTGTTATGACTCATCAGATTATTTTACTTCTGCAAGGTAGTTTTCTGATTCATACATCTGTTGCAAAACTCCTTTCCTTGATCTGCTGTAACAAACTTGCAAGTGCATCTCTTTTCAAGAAAGTCAAATTTTTAATAACAAAATTAGTTAACATTTTGAAAATCCTCATATAAAAAAGGACAATATCAATTGCTTTCTTTTTTCACATCTTACATTACTGTGGGATATACTGTTTTCTATAGATATTTATGACTCCTTTTCAAACCTCAGCAGTTTCTATATAAGAAAAGCAAAACACAAATATTCACTATACACCTTGGAAACTTTTTGTAGCAATAGCCCATTTTTACAAAACTTAAGATGTTTAAAAATTATATTAAGGTAACTGATGAAAATTAATAATGAACTTCATTTAGCATAAAACAAATCAATTAGATACTCCAAAGAAACTTGCAACCATAAGCTTAATAAGCAAGAGACACCCTTCAATGTCACTTTTAATATTTCCTGCTTATATATTAGTCGGCTTTACTTTATGATCCATACATAGGCTTTTGAACATGAAACTAGTTTTATTTTCAGTCTTACACAATGTGCATCCAATTTTAGCTAATGTTTTAAAATGATATTATTTTCTTCTTCTTTCTACTTTATATAATAGCTGTTTTTCTACAGCTTTTCAATTTACCTACTTTCTACCTTTTGGTTATTCGTTAGGTATCATATTGTCCTTGAAAGTATTTCCAGAGAAATTATTGGCTTTGTATCCCTTTTTCAGAGCTCAAAACAGTAACAAACAATTTATAAAGCATTTTTTTTTCTTTGCATTTGCTGTTGTCTTATGCCTAGAAGACTTTTGCTCTTCTTGGTACAGCTAATTCTGACTTCTGTTCTAAGACTGCCTCTTTCCAAGTGAAATGAGGGCAGGAGGAATGTCTTGGCCATCTTTGTATGCCTAGTAGTTAGTGCAATTCTTGGCATACAGTAGGTATTCCGTAACTGTTTGCTAAGTGAATAAATTTGTTCTGCATTTCTGAAAGGAAAGTGTTCTTTCAAAAATTCAAAATCACCATTTTGCTATGGGCAAGTAGTAACTTATAGGCAGATAGTAATTATGCTATGTTATTTCCATTTCACAGAGTTGTCTTTGTTCTTGTGCCGTTACAGTTTTCAACTAGATTGCAAGCTCCTGGAGGGCAGCAATGTGTATCCCTCACATCTTCTCAGAATAAGTAATTAATATTCCTTAACGGTAACTGAGCCAAGCCCAGGTGTTTTTCCTTACATTTAACTTCCATTAAAACTTTAGCATCTCCAGGCACGGTGGCTCACACCTGTAATCCCAGCACTTTGGGAAGCTGAGGCAGGTGGATCACAGGTCAGGAGTTTGAGACCAGCCTGGCCAACATGGTGAAACCCCATCTCTACTAAAAATACAAAAATTAGCTGGGCATGGTGGTGGGTGCCTGTAATCCCAGCTATTTGGGAGGCTGATGCAGGAGAATCGCCTGAACTCAGGAGGCAGAGGTTGCAGTGAGCTGAGATCGTGCCACTGCACTCCAGCCTGGTTGATGAGTGAGACTCTGTCTCAAAACAAACAAACAAACAAACAAACAAAAACTTGGGCATAAGCACTACTCATAATAGCAAAGACATGGAATCAACTCAATGCCGATCAATTATAGTCTGTATAATGAAAGTGTGGTACATATACCCCATGGAATACTATACAGCCATAAAAGGAATGAAATCATGTCCTTTGCAGGGACATAGATGGAGTTGGAAGCCATTATCCTTAGCAAACTAACACAGGAACAGAAAACCAAACACCGCATGTCTCACTTATAGGTGGAAGCTGAACAATGTGAACACACAGACACATGGAAGGGAACAACACAAACTGGGGGCCTGTCAGGGTGGGGTGTGGTAGGAGGAGGGAGAGCATCAGGAAAAATAACTAATGCATGCTGGGCTTAATACCTAGGTGATGGGTTGATAGGTGCAGCAAATCCCCATGGCACACATTTACCAATGTAACAAACCTGCACATGCTGTACATGTGCCCCAGAACTTAAAAAACCTTGGGTATAATGTGATAGTCTGCAAGTGCCTGACAGTCACCTATGATGAAATAAGAATTCTGCAGTGGAATGAAAATCAATTGTCACTAAAAATATACTCCTTAGTTCAGCGTTTGGGTGGGGTGGGGGAGTAGCCAAAATCTCTCAAAGAACTAAGCAATGTCTTGGTTTATATTCAGGCACAACCTTCTTATCCTGCAGAGATCTGGTAGCAAACCGGACAACACTATGAGGAGCACAGGTCACAACAGTCCACTCATGACTATCCACAGTAGTAGAGGTGAATGTAAATATGACAAACACAAAAAAAGTGATGGGTAGGCTGCTTTGAAACAAACTGGAAGAAGTAAGGCAAGAGAATAGGGTCTGGCAGCAGGGAACCTAAGGCTGTTTCACGCAGACTTCCTAGCACTAAATTAAAAGGAAAACCCTAACTTTCCACACCTAAGTAACAAAAGGACCAGAGGGCTACTGCCTTTGCAAAACCCCCCACTTTTTCTGCATGCAGATGGGAAATTTGCTGTCCACAACCAATCATATTGATTGCAGGCCAAGTCTTCGTTTGCATAGAAGTGTAACTTTGTAACTTCACCCTAGCCTCTCATTGGTTGCTTTTTGAAACCAATCAGATGTTTGCACAGGAGCCTGACCTTTGTAACTTCACTTAAGCCTCTGGTTGGCTGCTTTCTCTAACCAATCAGACTGACTGCAGGATACCACTTCCTTTACATGAGGTGAGCATGAAGTGGCCATTGGGAAACTTCTAGCGGATATTTGGGCTCAAGAAGTTTCTGTATCCTGTCCCTTGGGCCACTGCTTGGGCCTGCTCCCAAACTGTGGAGTGTGCTTTCGCTTTCAATAAATCCCTGCTTTCACTCTTTCGCTTCATTCTTTCTTTGCTTTGATGGGCGTTCTGTCCAATTCTTTGTTCAAAATGCCAAGAACCTGGACAACTTGCAGTCATGACCCTCTATTGGTAACAGAAGCATCTAAAAACTTAGTGAATTTAGGTACTTATTTAGACCCATGTTTCTCTAACGAACTTTTACTTATATTGAACAAAAAACTACAAACAGCTTACATGTCTCACAGTAGGAAATAAGATAAATTATAGAATCACCAACTACCATAATACTGTGCAAAAATTTAAAATGATTTGAATCATTAAGTATAAAAAGCAGGCTATACAGAGGGGACCAGGGCCGGAGATGGGACCAGGAAGGAACTGAGGACCAAGAAGTGCAAATATTAGTATCCAGGACCAGAGTGGCTGCCCGAAGGTCCAGATCTCACATGTGATGTCACCCTGTCAGCCCTCCCCTCCTGAGCAGGGATCCAAGAATGTGCCAAGAGTCCTGCTGGCTTCAGCCAGGTGGGCCTGTACATAGGGTCCATGTGCAATAGGGAGGGACATCTTCTATTTTTTGCTGCCCCCTCCCAGCCCACTGTCTGGGGCAGGGGGAGAAGGTATTTTCAAGATAAAGCACAGGTACCACAAATAAAAGTCATGAAGTTGCAAAAAAAAAAAAAAAAAAAAAAAGGCAGGCTATAAAAGAATTTAAACTGTATGATACTATTTTTATAAAAATATATATACAGGTCTAGAAAAATATATCAAAATGCTAACAATCGTTATATCTAAGTGTGGAAGTATCTTAATTTTTTCCATTTTTTTCTACAAAGAACATGGACTACTTACATCATGTTTTTAAAATCGTATCTTATAAATAACAAACATGAAATATCAAATATACATTGTCATACTTTGCACCTTTTGCACGTAAAAAGAGGGGACAAATAAATTTAGTTTCTAAAAGGACTCTGGGCTATAGAAGTTACCATTACTGTTCCTCTCAGGTGTATTTCTGTCCCTTTAGGCATAAAGGAAGGACAGAGAAACCAAACAGAGTTTTGCAAGTATAGAGGGAAATGAGGAAAGACTTGGGAAATGGAAACCATTCCATTTGGCAATGGTATGTAAAAAGATAAAAACAACAAACTAGGCCTAGAAAGGTAGTTTTGAAACATGTAATTCACTGAGTAATTAAATTTAACAATATTTGAATATAAAATAGACAAAGGCATGAAGAGATCTTTTCTAAAACAAATGAAAAAAATTCAAGAATTCTATTGCTAAAACTAAATATATATTAGCCTTCCAGGCATGATGGCTCATGCCTATAATCCCAGCACTTTGGGAGGCTGAGGCAGGTGGATCAATTAACATCAGGCACGTGAGACTATCCTGGCCAACATGGCAAAACCCCGTCTCTACTAAAAATACAAAAATTAACCAGGCGTGGTGGCACGCACCTGTAATCCCAGCTACTATGGAGGCTGAGGCAGGAGAATCACTTGAGCCCAGGAGGCGGAGTTGCAGCAAGCTGAGATTGTGTCAATGCACTGAGTTTTCAGGGCAGGCAAATACTGGCTGAGGTTAGAATCCCAGTATAAAACATAAGGCTTGAGAGGGTAGAACATATTGCTGAAATCTAATTCATCTTATCAGAAACATTTTCTGCAACTCCTCAGATTCTCGTGGTGCCGCCATCTCACAGACCCTCTCAGCACACTCCACCTCAGCTACCACCTCCATGACTGACTACTCTCCCCTTAGGTCCATTCACTTTTGCCTGTCAAAGAAGGAGCTCTTCTTCAATGGTGTCCACAGCATAGACAGGCGTACTCTGAGTCCTGGATTTTCTATTTTTCAACTTGGTTGAAAAGTTGTATTACAGGGTGTTAGATTTGGCTTTGAGATGGCCGCTGAAGGAGTGGAATGTTATAACCCAGAATTGTGGGGTTGGTTATATCCCCACTGGCAAACTTTGGCCAATGGGAAACAGAAGCTGACAGGAAGCCAGGCAGATAAATTCTCTCTCCTTCCTCCCTCCAGGCTGGGTTGAGGTACAGTTTCTTGGTACTGCCTGTCCAGAGATATTTTGGGTGGTAGAGTAGCTATACCTGCTGAATAGCCAACAGTCAGCTCACTGTGCAATGAGCCCAGCAGGGTAAATGCATCACTTTGTATTCCTTCTCGTCCCACCTTGAATCACTTTCCTTTCTTGCCACTCTCACTGCCTACAGATTGCACCTCTCAAATTAAGCATCAGCTCTAAATCCTCATCTCAAGCTTTGTTTTTAGGAAACCCAAGCTAAAATCCACTCTAATTTACTGGCCCAAATTAAGGCAAACTTTATTTTTAAATTTATTTAAAATTCCACGCTTATTAGAATATTCAATCTCTTGCTTTTCTTTCTAGATAGTATTACCCTGTCTAATTTTTACTTGCAATATTTACATCTCTTCTAATGTTAATATGAATATGGATGACATCTACACTTTCCCATCTCTGGCATATTCTACATCTCCTTAGAGAAGGAGCTAATACAGAAATATCATTTTTATTTTTAAAACTATTAACTCACACACTGGAATGTTACAATCCAGAGCCTGTAAATTTTTTCACAAGAAAACAGAATGGCCAATATTAGGCTTTGAATTAGAAGACCTCTTCCTTGGCCACGTGCGGTGGCTCACGCCTGTAATCCTAGCACTTTGGGAGGCCCTGGCGGGCAGTCTGCCTGAGCTCAGGAGTTTGAGACCAGCCTGGGCAATACAGTGAAACCCCATCTCTACTAAAATACAAAAAATTAGCCAGGTGTGGTGGTGTGCACCTGCAGTCCCAGCTACTTGGCAGGCTGAGGCAAGAGAATCACTTGAACCCGGGAAGTGGAGGTTGCAGTGAGCTGGAGTTTGCAGTGTGCCGAGATCATGCCACCGTACTCCAGCCTCATGACAGAGCTAGACTCCGTCTCAAAAAAAAGAAAAACCACAAAAAACAAACAAACAAAAACCCTCTTCCTTTGCTTCCATTCAAATACAGTCATGCATCATTTAACAGTGGTGATGCATTCTGAGAAATGTGTTGTTAGGCAGTTTGTGCTGTAAACATCACAGAGTGGACTCACACAAACTAGAATGGTATGGCCTATTGCTCCAAGGCTACAGACCTGTTCAGCATGTTACTGTACTAACTTGTAGGCAACTGTAACACAATGGTATGTATTTGTGTATCTAAGCATACCTAAACATAGAAAAGGTATGGTAAAAATATATTATCATAATCTTATGGAACCACCATCATATATGCAGTCCAAACATCATTATGCAGCGCATGACTGTATCTGCTATTAAAGTTGATGAACAGTAGAATGGAATAGTTTTATATTTTCCAGGTAGTCTAGTGGAAAGGTAAGTAGAACAGTGCTAGGCATCTAAGGCATTCAATAAATATTACCAAATGAAAGGAAAGAAGGGAGAGAGGGAGAGAAAATGGGAAGGAGAGAAGGTAGAAGGGAGAGAAGGTAGGCCAGAGTTCAATTAAACCTGATTGTAATCTTGTCATTGTTAGGTGTTCCAGAAGAGTTATTTCTCTCTGTAAATGCTTCTACTTTCCCACCTACGTATCTTACGTAAAATCTGTGAGAATTATTTGCTGACTAAAAATGACGCTATTTCAAGGAATAATTATTGATAACAGCCAACCTAGAAACTTTGCCTGTCAGAATGTTGACTTGAATCCAATAACAAGATTGAAGTACCATATGGCATTGGCCATTGGTCTTCTAACTTCAGAAAACCAACAGACAGCTTCTGATCAGCATTTTCATACAATCTAAGTAAAGCAATACACATTTAGTCCTTAGAGTGCCTTAAAATTTTACTGCTAAAAATGCAGTTTCACAATAACTATCTCATTCATTAAAATGAAATGCATGTTAATCATCATAAATACACTAACAAGTCTAGAGCAGTCTCTGTTTTATGGTCCCCCTGAATATCTTGCAGACTGGTCAGAGGTCAGGCGGCTATAAACCCTCAAAGGAAATCTAGCTACATGTTTACAGACGAAAACTCAGTAAGTAGAGGATTTTTATTTCTGAACATTTCTCAGTAAGGCATAGGAAAATGAGAAACTGAATTAATGTTAAAACTAAGTATCTTATTGAAAAAAGAGCAATTAACCAAATAATTGTAGGAAATAATGAAACATTGTTAGAAGGGAAATTTCATAATGGTTTTTTAGAGATTCATTATAAAAACAATAAAGATTGGGTAATGGATCCATACTTTCAAATTTCTGCTTCTCAAGAACTATGGATCAAAACAAAACTCACCTTTCTTTTTGCTTCTTCAATAAATTCAAAACATTCTGGAAAATAAGACAGGATGTTGGTTTCAGGCAGATCCAATATAGAAATGCTCTTATATGTAAAGTCACTGAGGAAAGCATTTTCAACTCCATATGCAACATTAAGAATATGAGTCACCTTAAAGAGAAAGAAAAAAGATGATTTTTTAAAATCCCATGAATTAGGTTATCTAAAAAGAGACTGGGGTGTTGTGTTGACATCTATAACAAGAAAGGTAAAAAATTTAAATGCGACTCACTTGATTGATAATACTTCTTCAACCCACACCAGAAGTGCTCCTTCTACTATATGTTCTCTCTCTCTCCCCTCCACCCTTTTTTTTAACTTATTATTATCATCATGTAGAGACAGGGTCTCTTTCTGTCACCCAGGCTGGAGTGCAATGATGCAATCATAGGTCACTGCAATCTTGAACTCCTGGGCTCAGGTGATCCTCCCGCCTCAGCCGCCCAAGTAGCTGGGACTACAGGAGTGTACCACCACACCCAGCTAATTTTTTTTTTTTTTTCAGAGAGGGGTCTCGCTTTTTTTGCCCAGGCTGGTCTTGAACTCCTGGCCTCAAGTGACGTTCCCACTCCCGCCTCCCACAGTGCTGGGATTACAGGCGTGAGCCACCACACCTGGCCTATATATTCTCATAGCCCTGGACTTGCCCTATTACAGCTCATACCACTTAGAGATTGTTTGTCTCTTTCATTGCACTAGAAACTACATGAGGGTAGGGACCATGTTTAACTTAGTGTTATAAGCGAATGAGCAGTGAGTTTAGCAGAAAATGCTTAAAATCTTTGTTGAATTAATCTGTAAATATCCATATAAAAAACTTAAATAGGAGAAGTATATCAGTAGTACACAACTTCCCTTTCAAGAATTATTTCCCTATTTTCCTTCATATTCTTTACTTAATAAAATGGTTCTCCAGGATGACTGCACATTAGAGTCACCTGATGAACTCTTAAAAACTATCAATACCACAGGGTCTCATACCCAGAGATTCTGATGAACTAATCTGGCTGAAAAGTAAGGGGAGGGGTGGTTGTAAAAAATTTTCTTTCAGGTGGTACATTTGAGCAACCTCCTCCTCTTCCATCTATGTATTTGAGCCCCTTTTCTTAGAGGCCACCAAACATGTGGAAGAAAGCCATGTAGAAAGTCCATTAAGATAATCCAGAGGCTGAGAATCACTTGAACCCAGGAAGTGAAGGTTGCAGTGAGCCACGGTCATGCAACTGTGCTCCAGCCTGAGCAACAGAGCGAGACTCCATCTCAAAAAAAAAAAAAAAAAAAGAAAAAGGAAAAAGGAAAAAGAAAAAAAAAAACTAACAACTTTGTCCACATCTGTACTTCCCCTCTGCCTTCTGATTACAATGAAGGATGTGCTCATGCATCTTCAATAAGGCTCATTCCAGAATCTGTGCTTGGAGTCACAGTGCTTCCTACTTTCTTGGCATCTTCGCTATAGTCATAATTCTTGCTTTTCTGTATCTTCAATTTCTTCTTCTACCATCAGCCTTAAAACATGCTGAAAGCTCTCCCATCCCCCCTCCTCACCTATAGCTCCTCTCTCTCTTTCTTTTCCCCTTCCCATCACTTCCTCACTTCTCAATCTTTTGCAATACGGCTTTGGCCTCCAATTCAAATGAAACTGTTTCCACCAAATGCACTAACAACCTCTCTGTCACCAAGTCCCATGAACATAATTTAGGCCTAATCGTACTTAAACTTTTGCAGTATCTGACATTGCTGACTCTCTCCTCCTTAAAACACTATTCTCTTTGGCTTCCACGACACCACCTTTTTGTTTTACCTTCTTTTGGCCTCTTTTGGATCCTCCTTTCCCACTGCAGACTCTTCTTCCTTTGATCATTCCATATAGGGTGATATTCCTCAATTTATCAGTTCTATGATAAGATTCTGTTATAGGCCCTCTTCTCTCTTACTTTATACTTTTCCCCAGGCAGCTTCATCTATTCTAATGATTTCAGTAACTATTTAAAAGCTGAAGATTCCTAAATCTGTATATTCACCTCTATTCTGAACTTCAGACCCTACATATCTACCCACCTAGATGATCCACATCACCCAAAATCTAACATGTTCAAAACTAAGCACACAGTTTTGCCTTCAAAGCCTGTTCCTTCTACGCTGTTTTCAATCTCATGGAACAATAACCTTACTTAGTTACCAAAGAAAGTGAGACATCAGCCTTGACTCCTCCTTCTCCCTTAGCCCCACTCCCTATCCTGCCTCATAAGTAATCAAATTGTAAGAATTCTACCCCCTAAAATACCCCTCACAGCTATGTAATTCTATCTCCACTACATCTTAATCTCAGCCATTGTCATCTTTTCCTTAGATTACTGCAATAGCTTTATAACCAGTTTCCCTATCTCTAACTTGAGCAACCCTCCAATGGATTTTCCACACTGCTTCTAATGAGAAATCTTTCTAAATTGCAAATTTGATCCTGTTACATCTCTGGGTAACTTCTCAGTGGCTTTCCACAGTCTTTTGGATCAAGTCCAAACAACTAACTCTGGCTTACATGGCCTTTTGGGATCTGGCTCATGCTTACCTCTCTCTCTGGTCTTGTCTCTTAGTGCCCTTCTTTCTCACACTCTCTATTCCAGGGCCACTGAACTTTTCTGTCCCTGAAAGCATCAGCCTTTCTCTTGCTTCTTGGCCTTCACACATATCTTTTATTCTGTGTGAACACTTTTCTTCCCTTTTTTTTTTTTTTTTTGAGATAGAGTCTTGCTTCGTCACCCAGTCTGGAGTACAGTAGCAAAATCATAGCACACTGTAATCTTGAACTCCTGGGGTCAACCAATCCTCCTGCCTTGGTCTCCAAAAGCACTGGGATTACAGGCTGTCTACTCCTTTCCCACCCTCTTCAGAGAAATACTTCAATATCACTTCCTCCAGGAAGTCTCCCCTGACTCACCTATCCCCCAAAAAACAAACCAAACCAAACATGGGTTAAGAGCATCATCTCCTCTGCACTTCTATAGCACCCTGCACTTCCCCATCAAAGCACACAAATGCTGTTCTGTAGCTGCTTGTCTGTCTTCCCTGTCTGCCCCTTACGTCATAGGCTTCAAGTGAACAAGAATCTCTTGCACTCCTTCAATGACAGCAATTCCATGACCTGAAACAGTGCTCAACAAAATGGTAGAGGGCTAAAAATTCTTTTGAGTAAATATGTAATAAATCACATCAGTTGTATGGAGTAGAGTGGCTGGAAATGGCATTACAGAAGACGTGGTATGTGAGTTGGGACTTAAGGCCTGGGCAGTCTTGGACAAATAGAGATGAGGGAAAGCCTATCCCACACAGAGGAACTCCATAAACACAGGCAAGAAAGACATGCCTCCAAGGTCAGGCTCATGAGGGTACATGAAGGAGATCAAGAAGAATGTAAAACTGGAAAGATAGATTACAGATCCACATATTTGAATTATGCGCCAATTATTTTTCAACTCTATTAAAATGATAGCGAAAATGTTACCAAGTAAACTCCATAATGTACCAAAGATGCACCAATACAGTTTTTCCTAAATAAAACAACTAAAATATTCTGTGTATATGGTGCCAAACTTAAAGCATTTTTTTACCTTGTTCTTTTTCAGTGTATCCAAATCATGAGCAGCGTCTTGTGACCCTAGAAAAAATAAATGATACCACCTTGAACATAAATATAATCATCTTGACCTTTTATATAAATTTGTACAGCCATTCTGTTATTAAAAAAAAAAAAAAAAAGACGAACAACTTGGAAGGACCTTAGTCCAACTTTCTGAAGGCCAATTTGATAAGAGTCATCCTACATAAACTCTTGGACTCTGAAATCCTACTTCTAAAAATTTGTCCTAAAAGTTACAGATGTTGCAAAGATTAGCTGTAAGAATGTTCACCATAGTATTGTTTGTAATATAAACAAAACAAAAACAAAAGAACAGCAAAAGCCCAATAGCTGTTGCATTAAATAAAAAATGGTACAATTGCATAGTGAAATACATACAGCCATTACCACCATTAGAAATAAAAAACGTAAGCCTGAACAACATTGTGAGACTCTCTCTATAGAAAAAAAATTTTTTTTTAAATTAGCCAGGCGTGGTAGTGTGTGCCTGTATTCCCAGGTATTCAGAAGGCTAAGGCAGGAGGATCCCTTGAACCTAGGAATTTGGGGTTACAGTAAGCTATGGTTATGCCACTGCACTCCAGCCTGGGTGACACAGCAAGAAGAAGAAAGAAAAGGAAAAGGAAAAGAGAAGAAGGAGAAAGGGAGGGAGGGAGGAAGGGAGGGAAGGAGGAAGGAAGGAAGAAAAGGAAGGGAAGGAAAGCAAAGAAAGAGAGGGAGAGAGAGAAAGAAGAAATGTGGTAAAATATTTATAGCATGTAAACATGTTCTTGGCCAGGAGTGATGGCTCCTGCCTATAATCCCAGCACTTTGGGAGGCTCGGACAGATAGATCACTTGAGGTTAGGAATTCAAAACCAGCCTGGCCAACATGACAAAACCCCATCTCTACTAAAAATACAAAAATTAGCTGGGTGTGGTGGTGCACACCTGTAATCCCAGCTATTCAGGAGGCTGAGGCATAAGAATTGCTTGAACCTGGGAGGTGGAAGTTGCAGTGAGCCAAGATCGTGCCATTGCATTCCAGCCTGGATGACAGAGCAAGACTCCATCTCAGAAAAAAAAAAGAAAGAAAGAAAGAAAAATGTTATCAATGTATCTGGTGATAAAAGCAGGTTACAAAATACTATCATCCATTTTTGTAACAAAAAATATGTATGTGCTTAAAAAATGGACAGGAAGTATATATAGAACAAAATGTTAATAGTGGGGTTGCAGGTGATTTTTTTTCTTCTTTATGCTCATTCTGACTTTTTACAATAAACATCTCTTTATTTTGTAACTTAAAAAAGGATATTACAAAAACCATACACCCACAAGACGACTTCGTGCCAGTCGGTTTGGGAACACCCAGTAGCTTAGAGCAAATGCTGTTGGCCTGCAGGATCCCACCCACACTCCATGTACCACTAGGGCTGTGCCCTTCTACAATCTTTCTGTCACAGCCGGCTTCCCAGATCTCCCACACTTGGAAACTGGCTCTAGTTAATAAGCAAGTTCATATGGAGAATAACTAGTTCAAATAAAGTGAGTTTCACAGTTTAAAGATTTCAAGCATTTTACTTTCCTGAATTAGGTTCTATTTCATAAACTTTTTTTTTAAGCTATGTATGTGGGAATTCAGCCAACTTTTTAAATGTGATTTTAGATAGCAGAAAGGCCAGCAAGTATGCTGTTTGGCCAAATATCCTCTTGATAATACCAAGCTTACAGGTTCCTTACTGAACTCACATTCAGCTTTATTCTACTTAAAAGTTAGCCTATCAAAATATTAACATTTGTTAAAGCTGAATGGTGTATACATAATGGTCTATTAGTTTCTGTAATTTTCTACAAATTTGAAATACTTCATTTCTTTAAAAAATTCTGTTTTCTAATGTAGAAAGCCCTAATCAACTCCAGGGGAAAAAATAGGTTCAAATAATTGAAACTTGGTGATTTAGTCAGGCGCGGTGGCTCATGCCTATAATCCCAGAACTCTGGGAGGCCAATGCAGGCAGATTGCTCAAGCCCAGGAGTTCAAGACTAGCTTGGGCAACATGGTAAAATCACATCTCTACAAAAAGTACAAAAAAATTAGCCAGGCATGGTGGTGTGCACCTGTAGTCCCAGCTATTCAGAGGCTGAGGTGGGAGGATCACTGGAGCCTGGAAGGTGGAGGTTGCAGTGAGCCAAGATTATACCACTGCACTCCACTCTGGATTTATTTTGAGACCCTATCTCAAAATACATAAATAAATAATAAATATCTATCTGTCTATAATATATAATTTTCAAAGCCTAGGACAAAAATGCTATCTAAAATCTTTCATCCATTCTTTAAATGGTTCAAGGGCCTATGTAATATTTTTTAAATGCAATCATTTTTTAGAGTTTATAAACTAAAAAAGATTACATATTTACAACTCTTTGTTTTCTTTATTCACTACCAAAACCAAAAGTTGTTTGGCATGCGATGCTGGGAAGAAGCTGTGTCGCTTCGAGGAGGTGAAGGAAGCTCTTAGAACCAACCTGCAAACAACCCCAGTCTCCCAGACATAAACTAAGTCTGGTCAGAAACAACTCTTTCAACATTCATGTAGAAGAACTGTAGGTGGAACCACCCACGGGTCCTTCAGGAATGAGGCACTTGTAATTAGGCAGAAAAAGGTGCGCTTTCAGAAGAGGGGAGGTTGTTCCTGATGAAAGTATTCCATTTCCTGGTCCAGTGAGAAGACCTTATTAGGGCTAGTTTCAGAAGTTCCTCCCAGGACTCTCCCACTATCCTGGGGAGGTTCCCAACCCCAATCTCAGAACACTACCTTGATTAATTCACTTTGGATAAGTCCACAAATAATAATAGTAATAAGCAAAGTTCATGAAGACCCTAAATTGGTGAATGATATATGAAAATTCTACCATAATTATTCCAAGCCATGATGACTACAGTGGAAGCCAAAATAACTGAAAAATGTGCCGTGGCATATTTTCTTTCCTAGATATGGTGAGCAAGGCCTAGGTGAACTTTTCAGATTACCTAAATAACTCAATTTTTCACTGTAAATGTCACAAGAATATGGTATAATTTTTCACGGGGCTGCAGAAACTAGTTAGAGACATTTATTTGGTGAATTTAAAGATAGCCTATGTAACAATTCATATAATATTTAATAACATATGTATACTGCAATTGATTTGCATCAAAAACCTTTTACAACAACCACCACCTCAGGAGGATCCTATGACATAAGTAGATACTGTTACTTCATCTTTACAGATGGCTTTTTGGAGGACCAGAAAGGATAAATGGCTTGCACCAGCTAATCTAGTAAATTAGAGGCAGAGCAGGACTGAAAACTTGGTCTATGTGAGGCAGCCTCGTATAACAATGGACAGCAGGAGTCCATCAGACTTGGGCTTGATGCCTAGCTCTGTTACTTACTAGGTGTGTTACCTTGTGTAAATTATTTCACCAACTTTAAATCCTGGTTTCTATTTGTAAAACAAAGCTGATAATCCCTACTTCGCAGGATTCTGCAAAGGAATGAGACACTAGGTGAACAATACCTGGGCTATTTGTCAGTCTTCTCTCTATTCAAGAATGCCTTCGCAGCATAGTGACACGTCATTTAGTCTTCCCAAGTCTTAATTTCTTTATTCATAAACAGAAATAATTCAGACGTACTTGAAAACATTCTTGACTATTTTTTTAAGAACACCATACCATATTCTTGCCAAATTAACAAGTTTGTACTTTTATGACCTTGCTTCATTTGCTATTTGTGAACTATGCTTGTATAGGGACTCAGTATTTCCATAATGCGAAATAAACCACAAAATCTTCAGACTCATAGCTATAAAATAAAAGATCTCCTTCTCTTAAACACTCCAAAAACAGACACCATGAACAGACGTGGCCACAGGAGGCATGTATTCCGCACGGTTTGTAAGAGCTGCGCAGGCCAGCAAGCACAGGACTATTTCAAATATTAACTTTTCTATAACTTTAACCATTGTCACTTGTAGTTCTGCCTTATACATTCTTTTTTTTTTTTTTTTAAGTTGTATCTTTTATAATCCGAGAAAACACAACACCAATGTGTTATTCTCCAGAGAAGTTAGAGAAACGGGAAGAAAGCTTTGCTAAAATTCAAACATGCGGTGCCAAGTGCTACTAGAATAGCATCTATGCTTCTTATGGGTACATTGTGAGGCAGAAACGGCTTTAGCTGGCTAATGGAAGTTCCGTATCCAAAAAAGGAAACAGTTCAGCTTTTCGGCAGGATAGCTGATAATACAGACTATTACGCATAAAGGGGGAAAATGAGAACGTAATCTGGCTAAAAGGACTCAATGATTTAGTGGCAAGTCGATGTACTCACCTAGGAGCAACCATGGCTTAATAACGCCAACCTGCAGGTCCGAGCTAAGGTCCTGCACATAACCACAACCACCCCCACTGCTCGGCTCTACTTCTTCCACAACATGAATTCTGGCATCTTTCCATGTTTCTATAATTTTCTTTCCAGTTAGCGTTGTCACCCTGGTGCATTGCTTCCTGAGATTATTCCGGGAGAATGCTTTAATTTCCTGGTTAAGGGAGTGCATTACATGAGCAGAGGCTGGGAACAAATACAAACAATCCAGCAGGCACAGAGAAGGGCTGAACTGCTAGTCCCTTATTGCCCAGGTAACAAAGAGCCTCAGAGGTGCTCGCCCATCCAGGTAACAGCAGCAGCCACAGGCGGAGAGACGGAGTCGTCCAGCTCCGTTTCTCCCAGCGATGCAATGTAAGGCGAAATTTGATTGGTCATTGAGACACAAGTGCCGATTGGATGCTGTTTCCTCTTCCTGTCAGCCAGAAATCTGCATTTTCCCGAAAAGCTCAAGGGATCAACTGGGAGAGATTTCTTATTGTTGCTGTTTACATTTAGCTTTATAATACACGCAGAATGGTAAAATATAAGACTTCGTTGGAGAAAGGGATGACGTGTCCTCGTTCTTTAAAGGCAGTGATTTTCTGATATATTCTGCTGGTGTCACTTACGGCAGCGACCATAGACGATCCGGGCTGACCTGTGTATCGCTACCGCTTGAATGAGACCGGCGGAGTCACCTTGCAAATCACCCTATGTCCCAAAGCCTTTCCTGCCAGTCTGCTTTTAGGCTAGTCCAGGAGGGCTAGAGCGGACTTTGTTTCTCGCTTCCTGTATCCTTCACACATTCTCCTTTTGCTGTTAATGCAAGAGGAACGTTTACTAGATAAAGTTGTTTTGCATATTTGTGAGGCAACAATTTAAATAAACTGGGAAAAAAGATATCTTTTTAAAATTCATGCTCATATATGTAGATAGACAAGAGCTTAAAATTTATGTATTTTTTGACTTTCAGCCTACGTTTTCATTTCATACAGTAAATATACATCCTAAAGAAGAATTACAGCAAGTCCCTCCATATGAAGAATTAAGAAAATCAGTTGTGTAAGCATCCAAATTTATAAAGCAGATAAATAAATTATAGAACGATGATTCTGATTACCAAAAAAAGTTTTGCAAAAGAAATCACAAGATTCCTTTAAAGAGAAAATTTTCAAACCCCTATTAAAGTAAATGTAATTTTAAATGAATTTCAACACAATGTATAAACACATATATAAAATGAAGAAGTTGCACTTATGAAAACTTTTCTTCCAATACCACATATTAAAATTTGTGTTGTTGTTGAAACTTTCTGACATAAAATTCAACTATTATGGATTAACTATTTCTGTCCCTTCAAAATGCATATGTTAAAGATTTAAACCTCAAGGTGATGGTATTTAAATGGGACTTTTAGGATGTAATTTAGAATTAGACTAAGACCCTAGGGTAGACTCCTCATGATGGGTTTAGTGGCTTCAGGAGAACTGAAAGAGATCTTCCAGCTCCCCTGTATGGACCAAGGAAAGACAGTATGAGGACATAAGAAGAAGCTGGCTGTCTGCAGGCCAAGAAGAGAGCTCTCACCAGGAACTGAATAAGCCAGCACCTGGATCTTGGACTTCTCAGCCTCCAGAACTGTAAGAAAATTTATTTTGGTTGTTTAAGCAACATAGTTTATGGCATTTTGTTAGAGCAGCCTCAGCAGACCAAGATATAAACCAAATTTCTCCCTCTTGGAAAGAGAACAGGCCTGGTACAGTGGCTCATGTCTGTAATCTCAGCACTTTGGGAGGCCAAAATGGGTGGATTGCTTGAGCCCAGGAGTTCGAGACCAGCCTGGGCAACATGATGCAACCTCAACTCGACTAAAAAAAATACAAAAAAAATTAGCCATGTTTGGTGGCACGTGCCTGTAGTCCCAGCTACCTGGGAGGCTGAGGTGGGAGGAACACCTGAGCTAAGGAGTTTGAGGCTGCAGTGAGCCATGATTATGCCACTGTACTCTGGCCTGGGCAACAGAGTAAGACCCTGTCTCAAAAAAAGAAAAAAGAAAAAGAAAAAAATATGTATAAGCTCAGGCTATCTGCAGGACATCCGAAAATGAAAAACTGAAGAAACTATTTGCATTTTTAAAACAACAATCACAGGCTCATCAAAAAACAACTCTAACCATAAATCAATCCATATATTTATCATAATAATGATCAAAAAAATAAGTACTATTAAGCATTTACTGCATGGTAGGCACTGTGCTTATAAACAATTTTAGATTCTTAGTATTATCACTTAGCTGTTTAACAATGCTTTACATGCATTATCCTATTTGACCTCACCCCTAACCTATTATGTACATACTATTATAATCATCTTCATTTTACAACTGGGAAAAACTCAGGTACAGAGAAAGCATATCACATAGTCTACATTTCACAGCTCATAAGTTTAGAATCACAAATAAAACCTATGTTTGTTTCCGTCCAGTGCCTTAATTCTTAGTTACTGTAGAATACTGCCCTGCTTCCAAAATAATTACAGTTAATGAATATTTATTGAGATTCAACTATGTGCCTGGCACTGTGACAGTCATTGGAAATATAGCAATGAATAAAAACAAAGTCCCTTATTTCATGGATCTTACATCCAAGTGGAGGAAGCAAGAAACAAATATACATATACCGATGTTGGGTCACAATTTAAATGCTAAAAAAAAAACATCAAGCAAAATAAGGGAACGGAATGAGAGGGCAGTGTGTTATTTGCTTTAGGGTGGTAAGAGAAAGCACTTCTGATTCAGTGAAAATTGAATAGAGACTTGAATAAAGTGCAGAAGCCAGCCCTGTAGATATATGGGGGAATAGCTTCATAGCCAAGTGTCTAAATCTTCTGACAGATTTGGAATGTCTATGCCAAGTGCTGAAACAGGAGTGCACTAGTAGGAGATGGAGAGGTTCAAGAAACACCTGGGTAGCTAACTTGGCTTTAAGGGAGTGAATTAAGGGAAAGAGTTGGAGGAGATGTGGACAGAGAGAAAGGATAAGAACTTTGGCTTGTATTCTGAGTGATGGGAAGCCACAGGAAGGAACTAGGGAAAGGAGTCATATGATGGATCCTGTGTTGTGCTACCCCGATCCTTCTTCAATGAATACCTATTGTCTCCACTACCGGGTGTACTATTGGCTGACTGGTAGGTAACAATCCCTTCAGGGACTGCTGCAGCTGCAGAGGGCTGCTTTGCTGAGGTTGTGTCCCTTATGGAATAGACCATATCCATGGCTGATTGATGAGGGAGCATAAAGATCTGTGTGTTAGCCCAGTTTGGAACAATTCTGAGGAGCCATTCTAGCTCTGAAAAGCTAACATGTGGTTGGCTAAGCCTGTCATTGGATCTGTAGAGCCACTTAACTTCTGTGTCTGCCCAATTCTGCTTTCTTCTTCCCTTCCACAAATGTTGATCCCAAGGGCACTCTTTGAAAAGTCTTACATGCTAAACTCTACCTCAGTCAGCTTCCAGGAAACTTAACCTATGACAAGTGACATGACATTGCTTATGCCATAGGAGGGTCTTCCTGGCTACTATAAGGAAAGGGAGCTCCCTTTCCTGCTTGTTGTTAGGAGACTACTACAGAGGTCCAGATGGAAGATGATAGTTGCTTGGGCTAGAATGGCAACAGAAGGAAGGTAAGAAGTAGTCAGATTCTAGGGACACATGAGAATCATGCCAAGAGAATCTGTTAGTAGATTGATGTGGAGTGATTCGGATAATTCCAAAGTTCTTAGCCTAAGCAACTGAAGAATAGATTTGCCAGTTACCAAGAAAGAGGTGATATGAATATGAGAAGTTTGTGACTTGTTAAGTTTAATACTCCTATTAGTCAGCCAAATGGAGATGTCAATTAGTCAGCCAAATGGAGACATCAAGTGGGCAGCTATACATATGAATCTGGACTTCATAAGAGAGGTATCTGCTGGAAATGCAACTTCTGGAGTAATCAGCTTAAAGATGCTATATAAAGCCATGGAGCTGAATGAGATGGCCTGGTAGTGAGGGTTGATAGAGAAGCCTCATCTATACCAAAGTGACTAACAAGGAGAGGTTAGGGAGTTGAATGAAAATGAATGAGAGAGAGAGAGTTCTGAGAGTACAAGTAAAGAAAATGTATTAAAGTGCAGAGTGTGATCAGCTGTTTCATATGCTGTTGATAGTGTTGGATAAGATGAAGACTGTGCACTATAATGGATTTAAAGACACCTTCAACAAGAACAGATCTATGTCCCAGGAATATAAAAACAGTATCTGATTCAATCCCTATGATAACCTAATAAAATAGTTATCCATTCTCTTTTTATAAAGAAGGACATTTAACTTGGAACCTAAGGACACAGCCTTTGGTAACACAGTTCAGATCTGTTAGGTAACAGATCTGAGTAACAAGGTTGAACACAGTTCTATCTTACTCATGAGCCCATATTCTATACACCACATCATTCTGTAGAGGATGGGTAGAGTTGTTGGTAATATACTGATAGCTGCAGTCCCTGCTGGTGATACTAGAATATTAATGTCTGCAGTAACATTGGTTGTTAATATCCTGACACCTAGACGCTATCCAACTCATATCAACATTTTGCAGAAGAACCAAGGTGCAGAAAAGTAAACTGATTTGCCCAAGTTCACATCCCTTATAATCCCCGGTCCCTTGATTCAATATACAATGCTTGTTCCACTGCACTGTATGGCTTTCCAAAAAGTCCCTTAAGGGCAAAAATCCTTTACACAAAGCTAGCTTAGAGTGCTGGCAGGAGAGAAATAAGAGGCAAAATATTATTAGACCCAGGCCAGAGGGATAGGGCAGCATTCCACCCCTGGAGAAGGCATTGCCTATGCTGACACGTGAATGGTAAGAGATTGTCCTGCAAGAAAGGGCACATCCTTACAAGGGCTAAAGGGCCTTGGATCTGAGGAAAAGGGAAAAGTGTGAAGTGAATACATCCTAGAATATGTTCCTGTGTTCTCTGTATAATTCTTGTCTCCTAACAGATTTAGAGTGTCTATGTGAAGTGCTATGCTAGACATTTTCTGAGCATTACCTCTAATCCTCACAAAATCCCACTTTTAGATAAAGTGGCTAAATTGCAATGAAGTAGTAAGCAGTGGATCTTGTATACTTAGTCTCAGGTCTGTTGAATTCTTTAATTTTTAAAATTTTTTTGAGACTGAGTCTTGCTCTGTCGCCCAGACTGTAGTACAGTGGCTTGATCTCAGCTCACTGCAACCTCCACCTCTTGACTTCAAGCGATTCTCCTGCCTCCATCTCCTGAGTAGCTGGAATTACAGGCAAGTGACATCTTACCTGGCTAATTTTTGTATTTTTTTTTTTTAGTAGAGACAGAGTTTCTCCATGTTGGCCAGGCTGGTCTGGAACTCCTGACCTCAGGTGATCCACCCACCTTGGCCTCCCAAAGTGCTGGGATTACAGGCGTGAGACACCGCACCCGGCCACTGGTCTGTTGAATTCTAAGATCCACTTTTATCCCACTACATTACATGCTCTGACATGTTA